ATATTAACGTGTTATTTGTGAACTTTGGTATGTGCCTCCCCCCTGTCATGTCATTTTGAGAGTGACGTCTCCAACAGCACATTGTCCGTCAAATGCCCATTCTCCTATAGAACTGACTGTCGACGCACGTATCGATGAGACTGATGCTGCAGAAGGCCCTGCACATCGTTCTGCTCAGGCTGGTAGCAGTATCTGAGCCAACTCACACAAGTTTGGCAATGGAACTTCAATCGAAAGGCAGACGGATCCTTCTACAAGCTCAAGATTAGCAAAAACCTACCTGCGCGCCCTCCCAGTAGCGAAAAGGCTTGGACAACAACGCCGATCGGTCAGAGGGGGTCTGGTCTGTTTGACAGTAGTCGAGCTCGGCGCGGAAGGAGCGAAGAGCTGAACGATGTAGAACGCCTCTACGCCAAGCGCTGGGTTCATAATTTAGAGTTTAATTGGTGCAGGGGTTGGTTATAGCGAGCTAACATGGGAGCCTGCCAACAACCTTCCGTGGAAGCTCAAAGTCGACTTTGAGTTAGAGACCATCGACTTTGTGTGTACCAACCAACAAGAGGGAGACTACGTACACGACGCAGCGAACGCGTAGCGAATCAGGAGTAATGACAAACTTACGTTTGTAAAAATTAAAATACGAACTGAAAACATACTGGAAACAGTGCAATTAATAGTCACCTCCTTTTTTTAACCCCTCTAGCCCCGCTTCCTGTATTCTACAGGATAAAAAGTTTCGTATCCTGTATTCTACAGGATAAGGTTATTGGCAAATCGGGCTCATACTTAATTCAAGTACAACTGTACAAACTTCAAGTGATGCTGCCAAATATAAAGTTTGACAGTGATGTAGCTAACCTCGGGCTAATAATTCGTGGCCAGAAATTTTTAGAGATTTAGAGAGCGCGCCAATTTTCGCGCCATTCACGATTTAGACCAGGGGGAGGTAGCACCATGCAGAAGCGAAGAGTTCGGCGACTTACATGGGGACAACTGTGGACCAGACTCAAGAAGCTAGGGTGGCAATTTGAGCGACCAAAGGGGCTAGCTACCGAGAA